TGTGTTGTTACAATTTGGCCCTCACTTTGAGTCAGTGAAAGTATGCTTCAATTTCATTTTTCCTTTACATACTAAAGACACACACACACACACACACACACACACACACACTGCAACTTTTGTTCAAGGAAGCATTTCACATCCAGATGTCAGATTTTTGTGACTCATGGCCAAGGAGTGGGGAGGACTTTGTGAACAAGCTTGTTCTGCTCATGTCCACCTCTGTCTGATACAAGTACATGTACATGGCACCTCACTTTCATAAATACAACATTCTAAACAGTCCTTTGAATGGCCACCTTTAGTACTGAATTAGGCCTCCAGTTTCTATAGCTGAGTTATTTGGGAGGAGAAAATGTTTTAAGGGTTAGAGGAAAAGGGCAGTTCTCTTCATTCCTTTATCTTTCCTCATCTTTTAAAATATGTGGTTAGGAAAGATTTTGTACAGGATTGGTTAGAAGCCAAGAGTTTCACTGACCCTTTTCGTTAGTTGTTGCCATTGCACATTTCTTGCCTGGGGAACTGGTTGAGCTTTTGAATGCATTCACATTTTAATTTATAGGATTTGGGCACAACTCGACTCTGAGTATAAATACTAAATACCTGCATTAGCACTTTACAATTAATACACATTGCATCCCCATTGTGTAGTTTGCTCTAACTCATGATCCCATTAGGATGGTGCTATTATATTTATAGATGTAAAGCTAATGCCCAAAGAAGTTAAGTGACTTGGCCAAGATCACTTGCCCATGTGGTAAGTGGTAGAGGTAAAATTTATATGGCCTAGCTCAGACTGTTTTCTTAAAATATATCTAGGAATATAGGGATAAGAATGAACTTAGAAACAGAAAATAAGGACCCATCTTTATTATAATTTCCTTAATAAAGTTGAACAAAAACAAATAATGAGCTTGTGCCTATTGTTTCACTTTTAAAGTCCTAATCCACCACACAGTAACAATTTAAACATGTGAGCTACTTATTTACCTTTAGCGTAAATAAAGATGCTTAAGGAAATAAATTTCATATATTAACGAGTTCAAAAACTTCTTTATCGCTTGCTATATTATTTTGGTTTTGGTTTAAAAAATGTACAACCATTAGAGGCAATAAAGAAATGAAAATATTGAAGCTATTTTTATATTTGTTGTAATTGCAAGCATAATTACATAAATTTCACAGCAAAAATCCAAGCCTTACCTGTATTCTAATAAACTAACAATTACTGAAAATTGTATTCTCCCAACAAAAGCCAAATCCACATCCAAAAACTACTGATTGTTCTTGTTGCACACAGAAGTTATTCAATATTCGGACATAACAGAAAGCATTGGAATATAAGCAAACTGGTGCTAAAAAGGGGGTCAGTGGTGGCAGGGGGCTTTGGGGAATGAGATTACTGCATGAGCCTGCCACCTAGGGAGGACCCAGGTGCACAAAAGCTCCCTAAAGAGTGGCCCCAACCCTAATGCCTTCTGATATGCTCACTGAATCTGCTGTGATGCCGATTTCCCACTTCAGTTCTCTCCTGGAACAGTGCCCTGCCTGAACCCCCATTTTGAGGCTACTCCCCCAGATGATCTGGCTGGCCATGCCAATATCCTGTCAGGGGCTAGAGCCCTCCATGAGAACCAGCAGCTGATGGTAGTCCTTTCCCCAAGAAAGTAAGAGGTGCCACCTCATACTTGACAAGAAGGGCACCATCCACCAGAATGAAGCCTGGGTACCGAGGTCAGCCTCTTAAGAACTATAAGCACCAAAGCCCTTTTGCCATTTCATTGGCACCTTGGCCTCCCTCCCTGAAGCTCTGACACTGTGCTTTCTCCTCTCTGCCTTCCATGGTCCCAACATGCCTTTAGCCCTGCCTGCAAGGGTTATAACATGTCACAGGTGATTTAAACTAATTTCAGTGGTGGCTGATGGATTTCAAAGACCTGACCTTTTGTGCATTAGGAAGATCTACTCTCGCCTTCACTTTATTTTGTAGCTATCATTTGGCTAGACTGCCCTGCCTTCTATACTCCAGATAGCATTCATCACACAAGTCTGTCTTTCCTGCCAGCCTGCAAGGATTAGGTCTGCCTTGATCTCTGCTGTATCCTTGTTCCCAGTGTGCTGCCAACACATAGTAGGGAATTAATAAATATTTGCTGAATGAATAAATATGTGATACATATGGATAATTGCCAAGCAATCTATTGGCTTAGGAAAAGAAGTGCCCCAACACATATTTGAATTTATTAATTGGCTTATAATACTGATACATTAGCCAGCACATTTTAACTTTAACGTAGTTATGCATAGAAGCATAATTTGAAAAACTGCTTAACCAACATCTAGGGGTAGACAGGAGGAAGATTGTATTTTTGCACTCAGCTGTTGCTTCATAACATATGCAAAATTTATTTGTATCACTGGTCTCTCATAAGCAAATTAAAGCACATATATATTACACAATATGCTTTTTACTTACCATTTTAATGTCTGTGAAATTTTTCTCCCTTTGAAAGAATATCTTCTAAATGTGCTTTATAAATTCTAAATAAAAAATTAAAGACAACCTCATACTAGAAGTTGTATATTAGGTAACAACAGAACTATAAGACACACTTTTTTTTTTCAAAGATTCACATCTACTAAAAATAATCTGGGAGATTGCAGGTATCATATGTATTCAGAATGTCTCGCTATGTTTACTTGAAACTAAGAATTTTATTAATTCATGGCTAAAGAAGTAAATTACTTTTGAATGTCCAATCTCTATATGATCCCTGTTGGCCCAACTCTCCTACCCCAAATAAACCAAATGAATTTTAAAATTTTGCTCCCTAATTCCTCTTTTGAATAGCATCTCTGTTTATGATTTGGTGTCTTTGCATATCAAAGACAAGTGACAAACCAGTTATGGAAAAGAAGAGAAAAAAATTATTTCAGGTCACTCTCCAAAGCCAAGGTTTCCTTTCTAGTATGTACACAGATGCGATTTGCGTGAGGGGCGCTGGATCAGGACTAAACTGAGTCAAGGGACACAGAGTTCCATTTCTACTTTGACAGTGGTCCCATGTGACTCTGAGCCAGTCCTTTCAACACCCTATTTCCTCATCTGTCACACAAGAAAAATAAGATTGGCCGTTTCCCAGTTTCACAAAGATATTTCCGTATCTGAAACATACTTAAGACTTCCAAAATGGGTTTGATTATTTTGTCTTACTCCATCAAAATCTTAATTGATTAAGTGAGTGAGAGTGAGCGAACGAATGAGTGATTTTCCACACCGGGCATAATAATATTTGCCAACCTTCAGAGTATTGTAAAGATGAAGTGAGATAATAATGCATGTATAAAAGCTCTGAAATTTGAAAATGTTTAATGTGAAAGGTATTTTTAATTTAATACTTTTGCAAATGCATGTCAAAACTACATGAAATTTTCCAAAACGCAACGAGATATTTTCAACATTTGGGTCTCCTGTTAATATGAAACATGGCTAAATGCTGGATCAGCAGAACACGTGTGTACTTTGAGTTTTTTGTCCATGAAAAATAGTTTCTACTATGACATTCATATTCAGTTCAAAAAGCACTTTAAGTGACACTATGTGCCAGACAGTAAGTAGGAGTTAGGGAATGTGTTGGTCATTCTAGTACCAGCAATGGATAAAGAGAGTCCAGAGCCCTCGGTGGATTTTTCAGGCTTTAATGCTCTCAGGGAACCGTGCACACAGGCACACCATGCAGGCAGGCTGGCATGCAAGGTGGTAGGGCCTGGACAGGCAGGCAACTGGACATAACAGCCCCACAAATTTTTATGCTCTTTCTCTGGGCTCTAGTGTTCATATTCTCTCTCTCTCTCTCTCTCTTTCTCTCTCTCTCTCATACACACACACACACACACACACACAAACACAAACACACTCACACACATCATCTCTGGTCTCACCTCTTCTGTTGCTGTGCCCCTTGTTCTCACTGGTACCGCTGCCACTGCCTTTAGCCCCGCCTCCAGGCTCAGGTGTGCACACTTACACATGCATGCGCACCCATTCTCCAGGTGTCCACAATCAGGCACACGTGCCCCACGCCCTGCGCTCCTAAATGTGCTGGCAGATTTGGCTTCTGGTGAGAACCTTCTTCCTGGTCTTTAGACAGTCACCTTCCTGCTGTGTACACACACAGTCTGTCCTTTGTAAGCAAGGAGAGAGCAAGATCTGCTATGCTCTTCTTTTTTTTTTTTTAGATTTTTTTTTTTTATTTATACAAGAGCTGGGGTACAGGCCAGAGTCACGGGAAGGTGAGAGGATTCACCAGAGACAGAGTGGGGAACAGAACAGGCAGACAGACCAAAAGCATTGCTGAAGGGAGCAGTGGGCGAAGCAGGAGAGGTCTGCCGCGCCATGTGGGATTCTCCCTGGCTGGCTGGGAATCGAACCGGTGCTACAGAGGCTGCAGACAGCTTCACAGCGTTGCACTCAACCCAACTGAGCCACGGGGGAGGCCCTGCTATGCTCTTCTTGTAAAAACACTAATCCCATCACAATCTTCCTAGCCTCGTGACCTCATCTAAATATATTCCTCCAAAGGTTCTACCTCCAAAATACCATCACATTAAGGGCTAGGGGTTCAATAAATGAATGTGAGGGAATATTACATTCAGCCCCTAATAGGGTAGAAAAATGAAAATGACAGTGTCCCTGGTCTTCTGGAAAGCTTACTCTAGTTGAGAGAAGACATATAAAGGAATAAAGATAATGCAGACTGCTTAGTGCATTGAGAACACAGAAAAACTAACTTGGAGATGATGATGTGAGTTGAGTTAAAGAATGAGCAGAGAAGGCAGCAGGAAAGAGCATTTCTGACAGAGGAAATAGCAAAGGCAAGGACCCTAGCATTGGAAATCATGTGGATTATTCAGGAGACAACACAAATAACACCACGAGAGTGTAATGTGCCATTTGAAGAGTGGTGGCAGAGAAGGATAGAAAAGAGACTAGGTTCTACCTAAGAGGACTTTGTGTGCCTTGCTCAAGAAACTATGGTCATTTCATTGGCTCTTGCTTCTCACACCGAGGTACTCAAATCCTGGAGACAGGGAGGATTAACATGGTCCAACCTCATGGATTCTCAATTTTACTAGAAACTATGGAAGAGAAATAAAGTTGAAGTTGAGATACTATTAAAATATTCAAAACAATATTTATAAATATTAATCCACCCATCTGTGGGGAATTGCATCCTTAGGGTTACCTGAGCTGGAGAATCACAGCATGAGGAAGTGGAGAACCACTGATGGCTTTTCTACTCAGCAGCGAGGCAGGCAGATTTAGGTTTTCAGTCACTCACTCACTCTGGCGAGGGCGTGGAGAATCTGTAGGAGGGAAGAAAGACTAGAAATAGCAAGGCCTGTAAGAAGATGGGCATAATCCTCCAGGAAAGAGGTGATGAGCTACTAAACTAAGGTGGGAATGTAAGTGTGGAGGATTTGAGAGTGTAAGGCACTTGTGGAGGTAAAATTATTTGCACTTGCTGAGCAACAGTATATGGGAGCTAAGAAAGAAAGAAGAAGCAAGGCCTACCCTGGTGGCGCAGGAATAAAAGACAGCGCTATCAAGCTATCGCCAGCCACTACAGTACAAGTTCGATCCCCAGCCAGTCAGGGAGGAACCCATATGGCGCAGCAGACCTCTCCAGTCTCGCCCACCGCTCCCCGCAGCAGTGTATTTCAATAGATTCGCCTGCTCTGCTCCCCACTCTCTCTGGTGAATCCATTCACCACCCACCCACGCCCCTACACTTCTGGCCTATACCCCAGTTCTTATATGCATAAATAAATAAATCTTTTTAGAAAAAAAGAGGAAGCAAAGGTCAGCCCAGAATTTGGACTGGAAGGACAGGGTGGACAGTGGTGCCCTTCAGCAAGCTGGAGAAGAAGTGGGAAATGAGATTATGACTTTCCTGAACATAAACATTTCTACCTGCCCAATGAACTTCCGCTGAAGAAGCCAGAAGTCATCCCAGATTCTCCTTGTGAAAAATCTCCAGCATTTGCAAGATGGTCAGAATGAATGGAGAATTTTGCTTTCACTTCTTACCAGTTTTCAGTGGCCACCTCTGTAGTGTGTAGATGACCAAAATGGGCTACTTCATTGTTTTCTCTGCCACCTTCATTGTTTCAACTGCCTGGGCATGGTTTTCTTCAAGAAGCATCGACCCACAGTTCTGCAGAGTTCCCCAGTTTGCTAACTGTTTCAATAGTGGCTACATGTCACAGAAATGATGGCTGCTCATGAATAAGTAACTTAGAAGAAAAGTCACTATCTTTACTAACTTATCACCTCCCCCAACCCCTTAGCCTCCGAGACTCTGTTTCTGAACTTTATTTCACCTCCAACAACTTCTTCATAATTTCTAATCTAGCTCCTGGCCTCCGCTTGTAATTAAACAGATACTGATCTCAGGTGGAGAATAAGCACCAGAAACAGATGAATTCATAAGACAAAAATCGTGTCCTTATCCTCCTGTTTTCATGCAAATGTCCCCAGTAATTAAATCAGGAAAAGAAAATGTAGCAAAAACATATCAGCCAAATGGTTTCAAAATTTCAAAAGAAGCTGTAAATATGGTCCTTTTTAGAAGATCAGGTTCTAACTAGAGATGAGAAAGGGTAACAGTTGTTCTGATGAAGCAGTTTTTAAATTCTTGTCAGTGATTTGAAGAGAGATAACTGATGTATGTTGAAGAAGCTGGCAAGATTTTTAAATAGTTCGGACGCTACAGGGAGCATTTTTTTTTTCTTAAAGCAATGTACTCAGAAGTGTTGGCAAGATTTTATTTGAACGTAGCAGTGCTTATGTGAGGAAGTTATTTTGAATTACCCTAGTATAAATATGTATGACTTTATTTGTATTGAAAATTTCCTTTGCAAGTCAGTGACTGAGGGACTGTTATATCTCTATTGCTTAGTAAATGATTTAGGTATTTCATTTTGGAAATAAAATATTCTACTCAGAATTCAAAAATAATACCAGAATTCTGTCTTGTGAACACAGGTGATCTTTGCACCTACATCAACACCTTTTAACTCTTATCCGCCATGCAATAAGAGTTAACTTTTATTTGCCATGCAAATAAGAGTTAAAACAGAGTAAATGGCATCTGTTGTCTTGGGTCTGTGTGTGTGTATATACATACACACACACAGACCCAAGACAACAGATATATAGACATAGATATATATGTGGCATTCATTCATGCATGCATTCATTCATTCAACAGATATTTATTTTTCAGCACCAAGTTCTATGCACCAAGTTCTATGGTAGACACTAGGCTTACAGCAATAGTATTGAAGTGCCCTTCCTCATAACATAATTCAGGTAAACATTCTGTCTCCTTGAGGCAATTTTCTGCAACGCAGTAGAAACTTTAAATACTGGGGTCATAGCTTACTATTTAATAAAAGCTAAGCCTTTTGATGGCTGTGGACAAGGTTATCTTTGAAAGATAGTTTTCCTCTGAATAGAAAATATCAAAAGAAAGGTAAGAAAAGGCAGTGAGGGTCCCTGAAAAAAAAAGGTGAGGGCCTGAGGCAGAGTGAAGGAGAGAGAGAATTGGAGAAAGCATTTTAAATAGGACTCACACTTTTTAAAATAGGACTACCTTTGGGCAAACAGTTATTGTTCTACTTGAAAACAAAGCTGCTGGCAGGAAAATAATCTAGCCCATTGGCTGATGGAGCCTATCCATTTACTTAAAAAAGGAAAAACAAAACTTTGAATCTTCTCTGTTTTCTTTCCTTAGCTATAGTGTGGTGTTGGGGAGTAAGGGAATCATTTTGTCCTAAAATACAACTGCATACTTGCCTTCATAAGCAAACCATAGTTTACTATCCACTTTAGCCTCTCCTTATGATTTTGTCCCTTTTTCAGAGAAATCTCTTATTAAATTTTAGTATATTTACTTAAAAATAAAACATAAAAAAACTCATCAGCATCACATAAAGAGAAAGACACACACACACACACACACACACACACACACACACACGCAATTCTGCATTTGCTCCCTCCCTTTTTTTTAGGTCATCTGTAAAACTGACACAAAAGAAGGGGAATGAAGCAGTTTGTATTAAGCAATGCGATTGGATTACAACTTAATAAAAAAAGGAGGTTATAAATGTCTAAATGTCCATGGTCCCTGCCTGCTCCCCTCACCTATGGTCGTTCTTATCTCAAACTGTTACACATATGAAATAGGATATCAGTTTACAACCCTTTAAAGCTTCTTAATGAATGGCAGATTGCACAAACAACAAAAAAAAGTTACTATATAATAGGCAGTTTTCCAGGGAAATGAGAAAGATCCATCAGGAATAGAATACTTTTGTTTGTCAAATAAATTACTATTTGAAGATCCTAAATGAAGCAATGGCTAAAACATTTCCAAGTAATGATACTTTGCTTCAATATCATAAAAAGCATTACTCTGCCCCAAATTCAAAGTCCAGGGTGATTTCAAATTACATTTGCAAACATAATTCACCTAACCATGAACAGTTCCCTGAACCACATAAGAATTCTCCCAATAGCAGCAAAACTTCAATATAGATCATCTTCACAGAATGACAATGGCAAACTATTGTAAATGTTTTACTATAAATGCTAAATGATAGTAGGCAATGACAGCGCTCAGGATTATACTGATTTCTCTAAACTGAAATCCAAATATCAAGTAGATAGACAAATTAGACTTTAAAAGAATGGAGTTTTAATTCTCCCTTCATGTTTTAAAAGGCCAAGCATTTTCTGTGAACTCTCAGCTTTGTTCTGTCCTTAGTCTAAAGGGTGCTAGCTTTGTGCCAAAAACAATAGGTGAACCAGCTTCCTTCAACCCAGAAAAATTACCCCTTTGCCACAGGAGCCATACTTATGGTTCCACAATGGCCAAGGAAAAACCTAATAGGAACAGATTTTTTTGCATGTGTAGCAAAGTTAGTTCCAGAGAAAGAGAAAGAAGCCTGGTTTGCACTGTAGCAGAACCATTGGAACAATATGCTCCCTGTGTCCACAGCCCAGTCCTCCCCTGACACCCTCCTTTCTAGGGCATAGGGTAGAAAAGTCACATACACAGTAGGTCATGCCAGGGTCTGCTGACACAACCCTACTCCCAAATTTGCAGGCAAGAGAATGAAGCAATGTCTGTACTATATACATAGTCTTACCTTTTTTTTTTTTTTTTAAGCAGACATTTCAGTCCTTAGCTGGAAGGTAGGAAGAAGATAGTGCAGGCATACTTTGTCAGTGCTATTCCATCCCTTCTATAGCCGCCCCAATTCCTTCAAGTCTCTGAAGTTTGGGCAAAGGGCTTTCAACAGTGTTAAGATCCTCTTCTTTTTACCTTGAACAATTGGGATTTTTGGCACTTCTTAACCTCAGCAAGCTGGCTGTAAGAGCTCCTTCCCATGCCAGGTCAAAAAGGGAAAATGATGTGAAAATATTTTTTCCTACAATTATAGATGGAAATGTGAAACACATAATCAAATTATAAATTGCATTTCTTCATCTCTAAACTTAGTATCATACTGCTTATTATTAACACTCCATCTTTTCTACTGCAAATTCAGAAATTCTATATTACTTTTCCAGTTGTTATCAGTAAGCATTAATTTCTGTACAAGAACCAGTTAAGTTGATGCTAATAAAGTTGTAAAATAATTAAAGTAGTTAATAAGTAACAATAAAATAAGAGAAAATAATAAAATCAGTATCACATAAAACAAATGCTATATTTACTCTGGTTTTCTATAATTTAGCTACAGATATTTTTCAGGAACTTCACAAGAAGGAATTCCTATTTATTGATATGCCCACCCTATGCTAGACATTTTATAAGTGTTATCAACATTTTTCACCATAGCCAGCTTAAATCTAAGTACTCTTTTGTTCATTTTAAAATGAAGTTCACATGGGGCTTAATATCTTGTCCTCAATACATAATTAGTAGCCAAAAAAACAAGGAGTCAAATCCAGTGCACCTAATTACAAAATCTGTATATTTCCCCCTCTAATAATATGCAACCTTGAGGAAAATATAAATAATCTAATGTCAAACGTACTGATATCCAGTTCCTAGTCAACCGGTGATAAAAGAAATGGTATAATAGATAAAATAATACCTAGCTAGGTCTTTGTCATGTTCTTTCCTCATCACTAACCTGTCCTGTGCTTGAGTCTACCTCTGGGGCCACAGTGAACCAACAGGAACCTGCTCATAGGAGATTTTCCTATTCACGGGCCCTGGACAGAAGACCGAACTAGGAAATACATTTTATCTGAAAAGCCAGAGGCAACAAAGCCAGAGAAAGCATTCAACCTGAGCATTGGATCCGCGCCAATATTTTAACTGGAAAAATGAGTCTAAGTGTTAGGTCCAAAAGGCAAAATAAGGCATACATGGGAAAAACAAGTTTTAACTGAATCATCAGGAGGATTGTTTGGAAATGGGTCCACTGCTGTGTACAGAGGGGGCAGGGGCGGGGGTGCACAAGTGGTTCAGAAGGATGGCTGTGAGACATGAGATGATACCGGATACCATGTGTATGTGCTGTTGACCACCAAGGTGGACCTGGTAGGTTTAAAGGCTTGCAAAGGACCTGACGTTTGAATTCTAGGGAGAGGTACTGATTCTCTAGATCACACCTAAACCAGTAAGACTAACGAAGCAGGGTTGTATCCCCTTCACTGTTATTATTTCATAGTTCTGATTAACCTGGAGAGGGTCATTTTGAGAATGAGGGTTTTAGAATTAAATACCTGAAACAACTCTGAGGGGCGGGGGGAATAATGCACAGAAGGGTGCAAAATTAGAGCTGAGTAGAATGCAATGTTTCTTTCTAACTGTGACATTTTAGCAGAATAAGGATTATTACAGAAGATCACAAAGCAGCATGCAGTTGTTTCCAGGTCAGGAGACAATCTGTAGGTACAATTTCTGGTCCCATTTCCCTTTAAAAAGGAAAAAAAGAAAAAGGCACAAGTCACTGGAGCCCCTGGGCTGATGTCCAAGTGACCCTTTTGGTAGTGTTGACCTGCAAGGAGAATGGAATGGACCCTTTGAGAAAGGAAACAATTAAGGGACACTTTAAGTGTTTTTGAGATGTCTTAAAGAAAATAACAACAAAAAGTCATCAGTACTGGGATTAAATATGGCAATAGCTTTCCCCTCTAGCATTTGCATTGATTTTTCAGCTTTGCATCAAAAAGAAAATCTGACCTTATGGATCAAGAGCTAGGGAATTTCATTTTCCATTTAATAAACTGCTTTTCTCCTCCACTATAGGTACTTGAAATTAGCGCAAACCCCAGGATAGCTACAATTCCAAAAGGGAATGCTCACTTCATTATGAATGGTCTTACAGCAAATAATGCTCTGACAGCCAAATTCCTGGTCTCCAAATTTGTAAGTTTGCCCTTTTTTTCCCTCATAAGTATTACTCAAGACTGCTTCTGAGCTTTTGCACATTTAACCCTTATACTCAAAGACAGTATGTTATTAAAAACTGCAAGAAACTTAGAAGTTCAGACATTTGGACTAATATTTATAACCAAATTATGATCATATCAATACAATAAATTAACTGCTGAACTAACAGAATAAAGAAATCCCATATTTTCACATCTGTAACTATGCATCCTTTGAAAAGGTCTAAAGCCTTGTAAGCCAGTCATAATCCTATGATGCTTTCCATTTTCTTTCTTCATTAATGACACACACTCATTTCTCAATGGAAAAATTGTGCATGATGCTAGAAGTTAAAGTTGTTTTCAGTAGAAAAATTAATCTATATTATCTTAAATTGACCTGTATGTTCCATATTATTTTTTCAACCTGTCATTATAATAATAAAACTACACTGTAGGGCCTCCCCTGGTGGCGCAGCGGTTGAGTACTGGGCTGCTCCCGCAGCCTCTGCAGCACCGGTTCGTTCCCCAGGCCGCCGGCAAGGGTCCCACCAAAAACAATTTAAAAATAAAAAATAAAACTACACTGTAGTAAACTTTCATGTGTTACTTCACTTAATTCTCAACAAAACCCTAAGGAATGGGTAGTGTACCCATATTGCAGATAAGGAAACAGAGTAAAACCCCAATAATCCCCACAAGTAATAATCTGCAGAACTAGTATTCAAGATAGACACTTTGTATGTCATCTGATATAGGGGTATAAAAATATCAGGGCAATACTTAATGATTCTTAAATAACTTTAAATAAGACTATATAGTAAAAAGTAAAACATTAAAATTATGTTAAATACCAGGTCTGAATTATTTGTAAATGGCCTCAATTTTTCACATTTTGACCTGTATAATCAGACATAACCAATAAGTTTAATGATCAAATACATACCTAATTGGTACACATCTCTGCATTTGGGAAGGAGAGTAACTTGAGTTAACATAGGGTATTGTTCTTCCTAATTAATTGTAGTTCTGTCACACGTTTGCATCGGATTGCTATATAAAAGGTTTACAAGTTAAGAAGTTTAAAGAATATCTAGAATAAATGGTAAAACACAATAAACTTTACCAGTGTTGAAGAGAAATTTTACATTAAAATGTTACTTAGTTTCTTCATCCTATGAGAATGATTTAAAAAAACACACACACACATTTAAAACCAAGCATTAGATATGCAAATATATGTTCAGATCAGAGATACCAAAATTATTCAAATGATTAATTATTCATCATAAAATGTCAATTAATAATTATGAAGCATAAAAGGCATCTTTATTTTTCCTGGCCTAAAAAAGGCTTAATATACATGTTCAACTGGCTTCTAACAAGTTTTACAAATCCAACAAAGTAAACAAATTGTAAACAAATGCAAACTCTGATTTTTAATAGAACAACAAATATGCCCAAAATTAATGAAAGAGGTAAAAATAAGAAAAACAAAAATGTAACCACATTCATGACCCCAGCAACCCCTTATTTACTCACCAGGTAATGGGGTGACCTGGCCAAGGAAACAAGGCAACTGTTCAAGTTGTGAACTTGCTTAGCATGTACCAAGCAGGTGGCATGATGCTTCCCTCCTAATTGATCACTATTTGTTGGGGGTGAGTGTGCTTCGGGAATGTATTACACTTTCCAAATAGTCACTAAAAAAGAAGACAGTTTAAGTTTCTTTAAATTGCTATTGTAATTTCTAAAATCTGTTAAACACTGCTAAAATATAACTACAAAACGAGAGATTTTTTTCACGCCACCTTAATTCCTAAGAATGTCCCTTTACCAAGTAGCAATCTTTTTTTGTTCCAGGAAAAGTATATCTCTTTTTTTTTTTTTTTTTTTTTTTGGAGAGTCAGTTTGAGCTGATCTGATAATTCAGAATAAGAAGCTATTGTGATTACTGAGATAGTGGCTTATATTTATTTTTAATTTATAAAACTTTTTTTTTTACTTTTCACTGACACCTGGTGAACTTGCTTTCTGATGACCCAGGGAGTTATTTTCGTCAGGGCTTCCCTGACCTGCTGGTAGACTAATTGCATATTAAACACTGCGTTTTCATACCTCAATGATCAATCCAGATAAGTAAAGAAGGCAAAAAAGAATCAGAGAGAGGAAGAAGAAAGAGTGACAAGAAATAAAATAAGACACTGCAAAAGGGAGAGATATCAGATAGAAAGAAAGGAAAATGCAGGAAATGCAGTTGGGAAAAGACCAAGAAAATGAGAATAAAGGGCAGGGAGAGCTTGAAAGGAGGGCAAAAGGGAGGGAGGGAAGCAAGGATTTTGGTTTTTCTATTCCCTGGCGAGGCTGCTGGCGTCCGCCGCGCCCTCAAGGCTGCAGCCTTCCAAGTTGAGGCGCAAGCTACCTCCTCGGGCCTGCGTCGCATCCAACTTGCTCCAAGTTTTCTGGTGACTCCTCCAGGGCCCCCTTCCGTCCCTCCTCCCCCACCCCTCTGTGAGATTGACAGTCGCGTGGAGGAGGCTTTTCCAGGCATTGCCTTTCTCATGGTAATCAGCCCCCAGCATCACCTCCCGGCCGCGGCCGCTCCGGCTCCGGCTCGGGGCGCAGCGCGCGGACCCCGGGGACCGGAAACTGGGCGGCGGGCCGGGAAGGGCAAGCGAGCCGGGTCAGCTGACCCGCGGCCGAGCTGGGGGCGCGGGGTTCCCCGCCAGGGACAGGTCTAGGGAATGTCGGGAGGGCGGGGGCCGACCCCCCCTCATCCCCCCCCACACACACACACGTGCTCCTCGGCCTGCGCGGCGGGGCCTTACCCTGAGATCAAATGGAGGGACCGAAGCTGGGGGCGTGGGGGACAGTGCGCGCCGCGAATTGGGGGCGACAAGCAGACCTGTTTTGCATCAATAAATTAAGACGCTCATTTGAGTCCTGAAGTTTGCTGGTTCCTGTCAGTGGAGACGTTGGCAAAAGCGCTGAAGCCGAAATTCAGCCTTAACTTCAAAAAATAAAATAAAATAAAATAAAATGAACCCCTCAGCTGGCCGCGCTGCGAGGGCCAGGTGGCGTGCGAGATTCCACAACCCGCGGACCTCACAGGGGGGTTGGGGACGGTCTGAGGTTCTCTGGTCCTGTTTGGATTTTGCTTGAAAGGGCTTCTCAGAGAGATGCTCCTGGGGTTTTTTTTTTTTTTTTTTTTGGTATTTTTTTTTTTTTTTTTTAAATAGACTTTCCCCTCCTATCCTAGGCTCAACTCCGAAAGGATTGGATTGCGAGTTTGCACGTGAGAAAACCGTTTGGCTTGGCTTGGACCTTTGCCTCCCCCCCACCCCCTCCATACACACCCAATCCAGGGGTCCCCCTTATCACCCTTTGCTCACGACTCTCAAAGAAGTTGCCCACCACCTGGTGACAACACAGGGTCGAAATAATTCCTCTAGATGAAATACCAATTCCGTTTCAAAACGAGAATAGGGTCTTTCTCTTGCCTCCACTTGGTACAAAATAAACAAAATTTGCTTTTAAAAAATCATTAACTGTGGCCAATTTCGAATTCCTTCTACAGGCTGCTTGTTCAAGGGCAGAAACATTGTATTTCTTCGGGTATCTGGGCCGGCAAGCGGAGCTGGGGGCAGGGAAGAGGAGGGAACCGCTGTGAAAGTTGAGGAAATTGACAGACTGAGAGGTGAATGGGCGGACAGGCACCAGGTCCTGGCTGGAGGGAATTGGAAAACAAAAGTGCATCTTCTCACCCTGCCTGGAGAGAGGGAATCCTGAGGGACACAGTTTGTTTTACTCCAAGAAACCCTAAAGAATTATTTTTCTCTCCCTCCACTGTCGATTACAATATTATTTCACATTTGCATGTATCTGGTGTTTTAATCCCCTTTCTCTGCGTTAATCTCGAAATGGATTATTAATGGGGAAGACAGACTGGGAAGGAGAGATTCATTTTGCAGGACTTGCTTTGCTTGTGAGGAGCCGAATGCTGGCAGCCCCTAGTCCTCTCTCGACTTTTCTCTGTGTCCTGCGCTCCTGCATCCCACTGATCCCACGATCCCTATTGTCCCCCGACCTAGTCTCCGGACTCGGAGTTTTCGGAACAAATGTATATTCCCGCTTCCTCGGATCCCACCACCTCTGCGTTGGTGGGAATTCTCACGGTCAAATGGGGAGGGGAGTGCCAGGGGCGTGCCAGGCGGGGGGTGGGGGGGGCCATCTACTCGCGAGCTCACCCCTCCCGGGAGCCCTTCTTGTGCCATCACCCCCAAATCCACCTTGATCAGAACCTGAAAGATTAAATTTTTTTTTTTAGCCCCAAATCAAGCACTTGCATGTCAGTACTCCCAGTGCTAAGTGTTGGGGCTGCCTCCTGCCACTTGAACAATTACTGAGCCCAGAGTAATCAGATGATTAGCTGTTTTTAATGGAAATACTTAAGAGTCTTTTTTTAAAGTCAGGTCCTAAGTAACCTGACATTAATATACATAATAAAGACAAGTGATTTGTTAGCTGTTCGATTGAATCCTTTGACCTGAGGTTTTGCCTGTGAGTGTGTCTGACTGTAAGCTTCCAAGAGTTATTTGGGCTTCTGGAGTGGGGTCTTGCCTGAAATAGATCCGTGCAATGGGCTCCTTTTTCTTTGGGGATGGGAGAGAGGAGACTGAAAAACTTCGAGGGAAACAGGACTCCGATCTTTTTAAACAAAAAGTGGGGAGGGGGAAGAGGAAGAAAGAAAAGATATTACTATTAGAAATAATCTCAGAAGAGAAAGTTGATAAGTCAGACGTGTATTTAGTATAGATAGGTATTAAAAGAAATGTGGAACATGAGAAATGGGTCTTACTCACGTTGGAAATATTTAATTTTCTTTTTTATTATTAATTTTTAGACTGACAATCTTGAATGCTCCTCTTCTATAGGTACTTTATTCTGTAATGAGGTGGGGAAGAAGATTAATTTATCCGGCCATTCTGACTGTAATAAATACTTAGGTTAGAAAAGAGGTAAGTCTGTAACGAACTGTGAAAATTGACTTTCTTGTATCCTAAAGTAAAAACTGACTGTGGTCATGCTGGGTGGCTATTACCACCACCACCAACTCCCCCCCCCCCACCCCAACACACAAAATACAAAGATGCGACTCTGGGAGTGTGGATGTGGCAACCCATGTGGTGGCTTTTCCCTCCTCTGAGTGCAATTGCCAGTGACTCTTGCTTTCAAAGTCTTGCTTTAGGCACACATTCAAAGCACAGTTCAAAGCAGTTTATCTTAATATAAGTAAAAGTCTAGTATTGGATCAGGGTATTATTTGTTTCAGATTTCATCAGACTGAAAATAGGGGACTGTAATATATTAACAACATTAAAGCAGAAAAATTGCATAAGGCTGTTCTTTAGTCTTCTTCACACCTCCACCTTTACCTTTGCAAGGGAATCCAAAGGCTGTGGAGACTAGAAGTTTATTTGTGCTCTGAGGTTTTCAAGCACTTTCACTGTGAAAAAAAAAAAAAAAAAAAAAAGCTCAGTTCTTTAAGAAATACAGCCTGAACCATTGGAGGCTAAGAGATTTCTTCCTTTTCCGATAAATGCCTGTGCTCAGCATCCTCAAATTTGGCTGTCTTTATTTACTTCTATATTAGTTCCAATTATGTGCAGTGTAAACCAGCTTTTTGATTAACAAAACAGCAGAGCATTGGTTAAGAACACTTAAACTTCAAAAAAAATTCCCCTGGGAAGTGGGCTCTGAATTGGTTAATAATGTGCAGTACTTGCTAAATTGCTGACTTCCAGATGTGGAAAATATCTTTCTTGTTTAGGACCTATGTAACCTGATTGGATTACGACAGAAGCGTCACGTTGGAAGCTTTTGAGTGATTATTTAATTAACCATACAGTAGAAAGCTGTATTCTCCAGGAAATCCCTTTCATATTTACATAACCAATCCCTTCAGAGCAAAGGTGGAGTCTTTTCTTTTTAATTTTACTTTAATTGCAATATCAAAATATATATATATATACTCCAAAACTTAGACCCCATGCCGTTTAATATCATGCTCTTCCTCCCCTGCTAAGTTCCTCTATGGCCTTTCTCCTTTTTCTTTTGCCTCCCTGCACACACTCCCTCACTTTGTAGTGAGTTCTCCGTGAGATGTAGAGAGATTCAGAGATCCGTCAACCCAGTGCTCTATGTTAATTTACTTAGAGACCCTTTTATAAAATGCCAAACTACTTTTTAGTATTGGGACCCAATCCAGAAATTCATCACACACACCCCAACACACGCCCTAAGATGCAGTTCACATGCAACAATTTTTTTTTTTTTTTTAGGCTCTGGCATCTAAAAAGAAAAAAAAAAAAAATAGAGAGAGAAAGAGCAAAGAATTTAGTTCCAGAAGCCGTGCTGAGAAATCCACACAACTTAATGTGCATCTCAAATCTGGTCATTAGAGCTATCTGGATAAGAAGGGGCGATCTGGATTGAGGACCCAGGATCTTTTCCTTTAACTTTCGCCCCTTAGAGTTCTCCAGTTCTGTGAATGGTGTGCACCGTTTTCCGCCCTGTACTCTGTAGGATTTAGTGATGAGGATAATGATGCCAAAGGCTTGACGCGGGGGGGGGGGGGGGGGAGGGGGGGGCGTGGAGATGGGAAAGAGGGAGGCGAGAGGGCGAGAGGGAGGGAGAGAGGAAGGGAGGGAGGTGGAATTTCATTTCTTCCACTAAAGCGTTTGCGGAGACTTCAAGGTATAATCTATCCCAGATCCTTTCCCAGAGAGAAACTTGGCGATCACGTTTTCACATGATGCTCACGCTCAGGGCGCTTCAATTATCCCTCCCCACAAAGATAGGTGGCGCGTGTTTCAGGGTCTCTCCTACAGAAAAGAAAAAGAAAAAAATGTCATTAGAAGAGGCGTAACACGTCAGTCCGTCCCCAGGTTTGTTTCCTGGAGTGGCCAAAACAGATCAGTTCTAACCTGCTCCGCAGGAATAACGGTCCTGCCTCCCGACACTCTTGGCGAGGTTTTGCACAGTTTGCTCCGGGAGCTGTTTCTTCGCTTCCACCTTCTTCTTCCCCACACTTCGCGGCTTCTTCATGCTTTTTCTTCTCACCATTTCTGGCCAAAGCTACAAACAAGACTTCGCAGGTAGGTTTTTTCCCCCTTTTCTCTCTTTTTATCCCTTTTTTGGTGTGGTCATTCCCCAACCGTCCTTTTCTGATTTTTCTCCTTTTAAGTGGGGATGTGAGTCTGAAGTGGGAAGGAGTGTCTGTGAGTAGGAATTTCAGGTGGGTGAAGCTGCTTTATGGCAAGCTTTTCCCAAGAGTGACTTCTATTTTTCTTGCACCTCCACTCCCATTCCAGTTCTCTTGTTTTTTCCTCCTCCAAATAATTTGCCCTGTACCTGTCCATTCAGGTAACCAAAGGTGTCTTTTGCTGCTCAGCCTAGGAAAAGTTTTATTGAGAACTATATGGCTGGAATAAAAACTCTTCAAAGGGAGAGATTCTGCTCTATTTTTTGCATCTATTTTCAATTCATTGTATTCAGCAATTAAAACTTGGCAAATGCCTGTTAATAATTACAAAACTTGATGGACACAAACCTACCAAATTTGAGGGCAAGTCTTTCTCTGAGATATGGCAGTCCACCCTCTCCCACCGGAGAAAGCTGTTTTCTAAGCAGAAAGTTGCCTGTTTTTGTCTGCTTAGCGAGTTTCATTTCTTTATTTCATTCTTTGTGTGTGTGTATGTGAAGTAACACCTCACTTCTGTGATGATAAATAAAGAAGTGAAAGTTCCTAATGGAACTTCAGTCGTTTACCAAGGGAGGGGGGGGTCATTACAGCTGGGAAGAAAACTGCTGTCAGAATATCAGGGTTTTTAAATTAAGGCTAAATTTTGAGATTGTATTTTAAATGGCCAAGTACTGCAGACATGGGTTTAACAGGACACACACGCATACCCCGTTCCATACTTTGGCACTGAAAAGTCGAAAGAGATAGCAGGAGTTCCCAGGAACAGTGATGAGCTGGGTAAACATTAATGCCCTTCTCTCCCACCTACTTATATATTTTACATGCTCCCCCTGTAATGGTGAAGGCAAGATTACTAACTCCAGAGTTAGAAATAACAGGCAAAGATAAAGTTCACAGCACAAATGCCCAGTCTCGCCCTC